ACCCTGGGTCTGCTTGGCCTCATCCTCGGCTTATTCAAGTCTACCGACCCTTTGTTCCCACGAAGTTAAAACTTATTCCATCTTGAAGAGCCTCCTTGCGTGGTCACCAAAACCATCCATCAAGTAAGCCCATTTCCCGTACATTGTGAGTTCATCTCCTTGTCCCTCATCAAGACTCTCCTCGTCTTCATGAGAGAACGTGTCTTGCTCGGACATGCCTTCGGCGTCACCCTTGAGCCTCTCTACCTCGAGAACTGGCCCCTCTCGGTGAGTTTTTGTTGCCTCAAGCATTCCTTGCGAACTTATCACGACATCCTCATGCTTGGACACTGACGATGCTCTCGAGCCCACCGAACTCTCTTCTTGTTTCCCACCATGGCTCTTCTCGCCTTTGCGTGCGGAAACTCCTTTTCTCTTGTGCCCCATCTCAATTATTAAAGTAAATTGATTGAAAGTAAGTAAAACAGAACTTACCCAGTTTCGCATCTTCTACCAAAACACCGTTGGAACGATCGTTGCTTGCCCACAACGACTCGCTCTGATACCACTTGTCACGCCCTCAGAATTTCGATGCCCTAAACCGTCAGAATATCAGAGTCAAGGTCTAATGGGTCGTGCGGCCTTAGACGCTTTAGACGCTCCTCGGTCTTCTCAGCGACTAAGTAAGCCTTACCCAAGCTAATTGAGCGTGCAAACTCACAAAGGTTGGAACCAAGCCCTCAAGGCTTCGGATTGCAGAGGCATTAAACACCAACGTGGCTACTCCGAGCCACAAGGTCGGACTATCGTGTGGAAGTGCTAATACGAAGGTGGCTACTCCTGGCCACCAAGATAGGCAACAAGAACAAAGAACTAAAGAACTCAGAAATAATAGAGCAAATGCCTCAGAGCTTTATTACTCTCTCTCACAAAGAGAATAATGGAATTGGGTTATTACAAATGAGGAGGAGAGCTCTCTATTTATAGTTGAGCTCCCTCTCAATCGATGGCCAAGATCGTTTTACATGAAGGGCTAGGATTGATTCCCACCTAACCCAATCCCTTAAATCAAGGAAATCCCACCTAACCTTATCCTTCTAGAATCCTCCAAGGAACGGGCCAGATCTGATGGTTCTGGGCAAGCCTAATAGTCTGTATTATTATCTTACAGATATCTGCACTCATGTCTCGGTTCGAATCCACGAGCCTCGATAACACTGCCCCCATCGCCCTCGTCGCTTTTCTCGGACACCTCGGAATAGATCCTTCACGGACTTGTTAAGCATTCTCCAAGAATGGCTAAGTCTGGTGGTCACGGTAAGCTCGATACTCCATATTGAACCTCTTGGTCGGACGCTTACACCAATGTCTCGGACCCAAATTTCTAGCCCGTGACACTAAGGTCAGACTTTGAATTCAAATGTCAATGTCAAGAACTAAAAGCAACAAATATACAGAATGTCTTGAAATATTTTCAATAAGAGTTATTAACATATATCTTGGTACCCTAACTTGATTTTAAGGTTTAATTTGGTATTTACGTTTTTCTTTTTGTCCAGTTAGGTATATGAACTAGGCTTTAAGATTCAATTTAGTATTTAAAGGTTTTTTTTAATCCAATAAGATACTTGAACTTGGCCTTTTTGTTTAAATTGGTTTGAGATTAAATTAGGTATTTGTATATAATCTTTCTTAATTATTGACAACGTAGTAGGATGTAGCTGTTTGAATTCAAGATCTTTTCGGAGAAAAACACCCCTTAACCATTGAGATCACTTAATTGGTTCATCATATGTAATTTTATATTGAATTATAATTTTTACATTTCAACAAAATAAATTTAATTATCATTTATTAAATTTATAAGATATATGAGTAACAAAAAGTTTTAAGCCCGTTTGGCCAAAACAGACATGCAAGCAGTCCCAAGGAGGAGCGAAACATAAACCCCAAGTTGAAGCGTAGCGTTGGATTGCAGCCTGAGGTTCATGAAATCGGCAGCAAGCAGATCAACAAGAGCCATGTAAACCAAAATCCCAGCTGAAGCTGAATTCAAAACTCCAACAATTAAAGCTGTTTGGGTGTTGTGTTTGTAGAAACTTGAAACTCCAATCCCTATTGCGATCCCCAATGGGGTGGTTAGGGAGAAAAAGGTCCCTATGATTGCCACCCACAATGACTTGAATTCTGCCTTCATTTCCATTTCCACCACCAAAATACAACTTTCAGTTATCATATCATGCATACCAAATTTCTAGTATCATTCAACTAGGATCAAATGTCGAGGAGGACTAAATTGTTTAATTTTAAAAAAACAATGATTTATCAAGTACTTAAATTTAAAAATTAGGGACAAGATCCAATTTAACTAAACTTTGTATAATAATGTATAGGGATTTAAATGAACAAAGTGTTCGTGAACCGTTCGCATAATATTTTTATTAAGCTAAAAAAGCGAGCATTAACAAAATTTTTCTGTTTATTTAATAAACAAATGAACATAAAGAGAGTGTGTTTGGTTTGTTTATGTTCACGAACAAACTTGTTTGAACCCGTTTATTCAATTTTTATTTTCCGTTAATTTTTTTACATTTTAAATACTGGTAATGATAGAGATTAATAATGGTAAACTTCAGAATTCAAACTATGAAACTTAAAGAGCTTAAGGATTAGTGTGTAATTTCATTTTTTTAGCTTGCAACTAAAAGGTTAAAAGAGAAGGTTGGTTGCCGAAGGGAACTCAAACATGTGCCCCTTGGCATTGGTTCAGCCATGCCCTTGCACTTTACCTAGGTCTTGACAAACACTAAATTAATAAGTTGGAATATATAAATAAATTTGTTTGTCAACTTTAAATAAATATATTTGTGAATATTAAACGAACCAAACACTAACACTTTATAAAAAAAAAGCAAATGAATTAATTTTATTCGTTCATGTCAGGTTCATTTACATACCTGAGATATGCAACCACCAAGTCCCATTCCTTCAAAGAACTGATGGAAAGACAAGGCTGCAACCAGTGGCCTTATAGTGTCAGCACTTTGAGAAGCACCCAAAGATATCCCAATAACCACCGAATGAACCACAATTCCCACTTCCAATACCTGAAAATCAGTGTATATATAACCATTTTTCTGAAGAATTGCATATCAGATCATAAAGGAAACAGTTAATTACTTGGGAAATGATATGTTGACGGATAAGCTGAGTTACAAGCAAGTCCTGATCAGATCTGGAATCTGCAGAGCCATGAGCATGACCATGAGTGGCATGTGTATGAATATGTACGTGACCCGCATGTTCTTCATCACCTGGATCAACTTGCTTATGGTTACTTGAATGTCGTCTCTTATAATACCCCGTCACAAATGCATCGATCATTAATGTCCCTATGGCCGACATCATTGCGATGAAACCCGAGAAAGGGAACTTTCCCCACAGACTAGTTTTAATGCACGGGGAAGTTAGTGTTTCGAATGCGTTGGGTAGGATGTGAACGAACCCGGTCGCGAGGATTCTACCGGCAGCAAATGACTTGATCATGAAGAACAGGTCGTTTTGGGGGCTTAATGGAGGGACTCGTGATCCCAACAATGGGAGGCTAACTCCGATAGCACCGGCGACGAGAATAGAAGCAATGGCACCGAGTTTATATCAAAGTGCTTCGGCTTTGTCTTGTCGGACATCATCATCATCACAAGTACATTCGCAAGAGACTGTTGCAGGGTAAAGGAGGAGCAGAAGAAGAGCAAAAAGATACAGGACTTTGAATGAACAAAGTTGCAAATGAGGCATTGGATTATGGTGTAGGCCAGCCTAGAAAGCTGAGATGATTTTATATGGAAACCCGAGGAATTTGCATGGCACAAACCTTGCAATTGATGGCCATTACAGGATAATTTAAAGCTGAAGGGAAAACCACTCAATAATCTAAAGAAAATCTCATGTATCCCTTTTGAGATTTATTTATTAAGTACATTTTAAATAAAATATAATTATACTCTTATTGTTATTTAATGTGTATTTTATTCATTTCCCTTTACTTTTAATTATAAAATAAAAATTATTCACTTTTAAAATTATATTTAGGTGCTATAAGATTAAATTCTACCTCACTTTAAGTGAAGTTAGGTATTTTAAAATTATATTTAATTTAACTATATCTAATATTGAGATAAGTGTATGTAATTAATTACTATAATGTTGAATTTGGGATTTGAATATGGAAGTGTTGGGACACATGAAAAGAAAAAAGGATAATGTTTTGGATGAATAATTGATATAGCCTTCTTGTTCTTCTCACCGTACTCCTCTTAGGGTTTGTTTTATGCTGTTGGGTGCTTTGTTTTGTTTCATGGGATAATGTCCTTATCATTACAGGGTCATTTTTTTTTATATAATTAAAACCAGTCTAGGGTTTGTAAAGGTGGAGACATTGAAGAAGATGACGATGGAATCGAGCAGTACAAGAAAGATGAAGACATAATGTCGGCTTTCAATTAAACCAAAGGACCAAAGCAAAGAGGCAACCTTGGAATGTCGACATTATTCACTAAAAGCTTTCAGTATTGCTTTCACGTCTTTCATTTCTTTAATTAATAATACTTCAAATGCATCAAATTACACGACTTCTTCCTTTTCAATTATTATTTGTTTTAAAGTACATATATGATAAAATATAATTAGTATAATGAAATTTAAATTAAAAAAATCAAATATGATAAAATTAAAATTTAAGATCTTAAAATGTTCAAAGTTTCGAATTGTAACCTAAATGTAAAGCTTTCATTGAAGGGGGGGGGAAGGGGGAAGAAGTTAACACCTATATGTGTTGATGCGGGAATAGTAAAAATAAAGTCAACTTTAGCATCGGTGGCAGTTGAAGTCGAGTGCTAATTTTGTTAGTGGAGTAATCTCGAAAATAGTTTTTTAAATTATCTACGCTTATTGCACTTTAAGGATCAATTTGATTAAAAATTATAAACACCGAGGACTAAAGTTATTTTACTCCAAATGCATCATCTAAGAAAAACTTTCTTCCTTAAACTGCAGACATAATGGCTTTTGTATTGTTCATGTCTTTCAACTGTTCATATGACAGACAGACACGTTTCTCATTATTAAAAATCCAATCTGCACTACCCAAAAAAAACTCTTGCAAACAAAGGATGCTGGATGGACGGTAAATTCAATTCCCGTCCGGTCCGGTTTCTCTAACGTCTTGTTCCGTTACGTGCCTGCATAAACCGTGTCATACTCAAAACCAGCTACTTCTTGAAAATAAAGTCCCTTCAACCGCTAAAATCCTAACGTTAAACTGTACAAACAGACCAGATTTCTCTATCAAAAACTCCTGGGACACACGCAAACCCGTAATGTAAAACAGTTTTCTATCAGGATCCTTTCCCACCAACTTCAACGCGTAACCGGAAAGAGTTCTATCCTGTGGCTTCCTTAATGGTGCATACCGTTACCATTCATGCACACACCGTTTAATGACCCGTTCAAACCATTGGAATAGTTCCCATTTTGATGAGCCTTGTAAGTTGCTTTTCCATTACTCATCCCACTTCCCACTGTTTTGCTGATATGGCTAGACTTGTTTAGAAGTGAATCCAACTGGCCACATGATGCTGCAATAAGTCCTGTAGATCGAAAAAAGATAATGGCGAACTTGATCTTCAAAGTCCAACTGATAATGTCGAACTTGATCTTCGAAGTTCAACTGATAATGCCGAACTTGATAAGAACAAAATTATGGCCATGCATGTACCTGAGAAAAGTGCAGATGGTTTTCCTGGTCTCGACTTGAACTCAGGATGGAACTGAACACCGATAAAAAATGGATGGCTTGGTAATTCAACAATCTATGCAGCCAACACAAAAGGCTCATAACCATCAGAACTAAATGCTATATATAAAAGTAGCAATTGGTCAAGTCAAAATATTGAGCACCTAAACTACAGGCTTTCTAGAAATAGCTGTACTGCTTTTCGCATTTAACTTACCTCCATCCGCCTATCACTTTCATCTCTGCCAACAAATGACATACCGGCAGCTTCAAGTTCTGATATCATATCAGGATTGACCTACACAGGATGAATTATCAACCTTACGAACTTGAAAACATACCATCTTCCCTAATATATAGAATCCCATGCATCATTAAACTACCTCGTATCTATGTCGATGCCGTTCATCAACAAAGGTTGCATCACCATACCTAGAACGGAAACAACTATTAAAGCGAAAGGAATAATATGCATAGAATATATGAACCCCTAAAGGGATTCAAGAATTGTGTTACATCTTATACAAGCATGCAAGGTTAAGAGAGTTGTGTTCTCACAACATGGCAGATTTGCAATCGGGAACCTTCAAATAAGTCCTCCTTGATCCCAGACGCATGGTTCCTCCCATATGAGTTTTTGAACCCTGTGACATAAACCAAAACATACTTCTTCACAAAATGGAACTAGGCAGGCAAGGCAATTTTCATTTTGGCTATAGTGATAAAATAAAACCTTGAAGTTTACCACTTTATAAACCCTCTACTTTTATTTGTATTCGAATAAGCCTCTATCCATAATTTGTACCCAAATAAATCCCTAAAATTTATACCTAAATAAACCTTTCACATTAAAGTAACATTTCATTTGAAATAAAGGCTTAGTCGGGTACAAACCAAAGGATAAAGACTTATTTGATACAATAAGAATATAAGGGCTTATAAGAAAGGTAAAGTTGATTAGGGATTTTTTAGTATTTTAGCATCCTTTTTGTCAAACATTATAGAAGGTTATATACCTCTGGCATAAATATGACACAAGGATTTGGTGTTTTTGGATCAAATTCAGCACTGTTCGCATTATGCAAACCTAGAACGGAACGTGCGTATTCTATGACTGCTATCTGCATTCCAAGGCAGATTCCCAGAAAAGGAACATTGCTTTCACGAGCGTACTTTGCAGCAAGAATCTTCCCTTGCACTCCCCTATCACCAAAACCTCCGGGAACTAAGATACCATCAGCACCCTGTAATTAGAGACCGTTTAGAGGATCTTCTCAAGGGAATATTTATGAAACAAGAGAGAACACAGAACATGAACCCAAAAAGAAAATAAATCATCATGGAGAAAAAGAAAAAGAACCTTCAAATGGTTCCATGCTGCTTTAAAAGTTTCAGGATCCTGAAAGGAGTAAATGCAGACATTGTAAGTAAACATGTACTTCATGAAGTAAAAGTGGCAAGATGATATCTTCTTTAGCAACAAAAAATTACAAGTCCCACCAAAATTCTGTGCAGCAAAAGTTTACAACAAACTTACCTCTTCAGCAGTAGTATCTTCAAGATGACTTGCTTCAACCCACTCAACAAGCAGCTTCTTGCGATGGTAAACAGATGCATGCAAAAGTGCCTATAGCAATAAACCCAAGTTATTAGAAACCATTTGTATCACATGCCTATTACCTTCTACCCCTTAAGGGTTTCTTTGACCCAACTGGAGATTTTGTAGGGAAGTATTGTGAAAGTAGAGTAGGAATAAAAGTTATTTACGAAGAAGCTAAACTAGAACTAGGAAAACTTAATGCAGAAATATTGTAGGACATAGAAAATAACAGGCTTCTTCACAAAAGTTTCAACAGCTTTTGAAAGCCAAACACCTTGCTTCTACCTTTGCAGTAGAAAAATGCTTCCAGAAATAGAGCCAAACAACCACTTATATCACATTGAAGGAATCATATAACAGAAAAGTGTGTTTAGGGAGATGAAGGCTGGGATTACCCACTGCACAAGTACCAAAGGCAAACAGAGCCTTAACTTATTGAAATGACTTAGTGATGGGGGTAGATGATGATAATAATAATAACAGGTGCTTTTCATATTTTTAAAAACTAACAAAGGTTTCACCTTTAAAACAGAGAGGTAAGAATCTTTAAGCCCAACATATTTGCCAACCATAGCAATTTTAACCTGCAATGTAAATGACAGCAAATAACATTATGATTTCACCATGTGCAAATAAATACAACTCATATTTATTGATGCTTGAGACCCACAGGATCATGGAGCATGTCATAAACTTTGGTCCTATCAGTCCACTCTGTTAAGTCAGGTTCCATTGCAGTGCTGCAATTCATAGACAAACAAATATGAATACCCAGAAAACTACAGCCTGATGCTGCAGGATAAAAAAGTACTCTCATCACAGCCAAGATACAAAAGAATCAGAAAGAGAGAAGGGAATAGCGGCAAACCCTAGAAGGTTCAGTTCTTTCAAGATTGCTTCATGTGCCTTTTGATCCTATTCATTACCGGGAGAGAAAAAAATAATTATAAATAAAAAAGGCATTCTACAGTCTAGTTTTGTCTGAGAAGTTAAACAACGATAGAGTTAATATAATAATAAATAAATCAAACTACTTACTCTAAGTAGTAAAGGAATGAGCCAGATATTTGGAACATCATAAAGAGTGACAATATTTTCTGCCTGAAATAACTCATTTTGCTTAATAACCATAATTACTGATCATAAAAATGCCAAAGAAAAATAGCATTCATATTGCATTACCGGCACATGGCAAAACTGAGAGAGCTTTTCCTTGACATTGTCATCAAGTGCCTACGCAAAAAAAAAAAAAAAAAGTGGGAACATTGATAAGAAATGCAAAGCTGCCACCAGCACATACAGTTGAAAAAGAGAAATGACGGTAAAACCTTTGTACTACGGCAGGCAAGAATATTTGGTGTCAAGCCAAGTCCTCTAAGTCCCCGAACACTATGCTGGGTGGGCTTTGTTTTCTGTTATTTTCAATTTGTGATAATGATATTTAGAAATAGCCACTCACCTTGTAAGCTGATTACATGCATCAAATTTCTCCAACTTTCATTCATAAACAAGTAAAACAAAAATATACATAAAAATATATACAGTCTTTAGGCATACCTGCTCACCAACAACATTGAGAACAGGCACAAGGCTGACGTGAACCAAACAGAAATTTCCAGGGCCTAAAGCAAGAAACATGAAGTGAAATTATGATCGCCAGTAGATCATGTAAGAGAAAATTCACATACACAAATCAGATAAGGAAGAACATAATATTCTTACCCACATGATATGAGAACTGACCAAGGGCCTCAATAAATGGCATAGATTCAATGTCACCTGGATCAAGAAAAGTTGTAAGAAGAAAAAAAGGGAAAAAACAATACATCAACTGTCGAGGGCGAAGTGAATATACCTATAGTTCCACCCAATTCAATGACACAAACATCGGCAGGACCTTCGTTTCCATCAACCGGTATCATGGCAGCACGTTCTATCCACTCTTGGATGGCATCTGTAATGTGAGGAACAACCTAGAGCGAACAAGAGACTTAAAATTAGGAAACCATAGATAACAATGCATGGTAGATTTTGTTGAGGAAACAGTGGAAAAGCTCAAAAAACAGACCTGGACAGTCTTGCCAAGATATTCTCCCTTTCTTTCCTTCTCAAGAACAGACTGAAAAAACACAAGGGACAAAGGGATTGAAGAGATAGTTCTTCAATTGAACGAGGAAGAAATGATGTAATGGAAAGACAATGAAATGCAAAAAGACCTGATAAATCTTGCCCGTTGTTATATTATTATCACGCGTTAATGTGATGTCTAGGAAACGCTCATAGTTTCCAAGGTCAAGGTCCACCTTCAATCAAATGCACAACACCATCATCATCATCATCGATTCGATAGAACACAGACGTAAAAGAGAAAAGGAAAAAGAGAATAACCTCGCCGCCATCATCAAGGACAAACACTTCACCATGCTCAAAAGGAGACATTGTACCCGCATCGGTGTTGAGATAAGGATCTACACACGATGATATTATAACAAGGATTGCGTAAAACAAATAAACGAGTTAAAAGAGAAACCATTGAAATTTGCATAAGGAGAAATACCAATCTTAATGGAAGTAACACGAAGACCACATGATTTAAGGAGAAGACCAATGCTACTTGCAGTCACCCCTTTCCCCAGACCACTCACCACACCTCCTGTAACCAACACGTACTTCATTTTCTTCTTATTTAAGCAACTGCAGCTAAAACAGAGGAAGATAAAAAAAGGATGATATACTTATGCAATAACTAGCCAGCCAGCCAACCAGCAGGGGGCTTTGCTACTGTGTTCTGAGAAAACCCATTAAAGCATTCGGAAGAAGATAAAAAAAAAGGAAAGAAAACAAACCTTCTTCTCCAGTCGTCAGCTGGTTGTCAACGGCCCAACGGTCTTCACAAAATAAAGTAAGAAAAAGCGCGAGCTTTACAGAATCAGAAACGTAATGAGAATGGGAAAGGCGGGAATGTATGGAATTGAAACTGAAAACCCAGAAACAGAGGGATAAATGATAATGAAAGCAATGGTAATATACCCTTTTCGTTCGTTGCTCGATCGCTCCCTCTCTTTTGCCCAAATACTTTTCAAGTTGAAGGCGGCGGGTGAATGACAGTGAGGGAAACAAAACAATACCCAAAACCCACAGCTCCCTTACCCTTTTTATTCTTTTATTTGCACAATTAAACAATCAATTAATTAATTAAAACGGTGCCTACTTTTTTTAAAGAGCTCAACAACCGGTTTAATTCTCGGATTAAGTTTATTTATTTTTAATTGAACCGATTTAATTTAATTTAAATTAATATTTTTAGATTTTAAAATTTAAAGTCAATATTTTAGTTTTATTTAGAAGGAAATATAGATGTTAATGTTTACCTAAATTTTTAATTTTTAATTACAACTCTACCACAGTAGGATTCTAATTTCTCTTTATCTATATTTTATTGCAAGCTAGTTGCGTCGCATTCTTTACACATTTACTTCAATGATTCTTTTACAAAAATATTTACGTTCTACTACATTTTTTTGGGATAAATTTCACAGCTGTACATCCATTTAATTATAATAAGGTTGCTCGTCCCGCCTCTTAACCATGAGGTCAAGGGTTTGAATATCATTTATGGGAATAAAATATATTTCATGATCAATTGTTTATTTTTTAGTAAGAGCATTTGCTTAGTTAATGTTATCGATAGTAAATATCTTACTTTAAATGAAAAAGCATTGATATAATGTACAGTTAGGGATGAAATTAAGATCAAATGTTGAAGGAAGTACAACTATTTTATATCAGAAGAATAAAGATGTATTTGATCATATAGTCATTATCCCGGAGCACAACATCAAACGTGTTAAAGTGGAGACGGACAACGACGATAAGGTGTGGATCATTAATATCAAAAGAATCAAAAGTGTTCTCAATCTGGAGTGGGCGAAGATTATTTGTACACCCCGAGAAGCTAAGAAAGTTGTCGATGCTTTGGCTCGGCTCGGACACAACGATAGAACGAGACTCTCGATCTTTCGCAACCATCGGATGAAAATCAAAGTCTTCTTTCTAATGACAGAGAGGTGTTGAGAAGTAGCTCTATACATTTCTACTGCAGTAAAACCTTTTGTAACAAAAATAATAATAATAAGAATCTATTAAGTATTTAAAATAAAATGACAGAATATCATTATACAAAAACTTTTGGGAGCCCATCTAAACCACTATGTAGCTTGGTACCTTCGTCCTTATATGCAATGACACTTAAAGTGTGAATCGACATATTTATTTACATTAAGTTTTATAATGATTTTTTGATGCGATCATTTTACGTTCCTTCAATATATAAATAAATAATATATTCATTTAAAAATAACAATTAGGTTTGTTTTATTTTTGAAATATGTATAATTGAATAGAAAGTAATGTTTTTATATGTATGATCGAATAAAAATTAATCTTTCGTATATATAATTATATTAATTCAAAATTATTTATAATTAAAATTAATATATAATTTCAATATTATAATATTCTCTTCTTGAACATATAAGTTTGAGATGACAACAGATTATCTATTGTGTTCCAAATAGAGATGGCAGTGCAGCCAAGTAAGAGTAAAATTGTCTCATTGATCTATAAATGTTGAAGATATTTATATCTATAAAAGTCTATTATTCTTTTAAGTATAGCTGGGAAAATAGAAATTATAAAATGAAATCGTCAATATTGAATGTATAGTAATAAAATAAATAAAATGAAACAAGTAATCGCGTCGTGATATTAACTTCTGTCTTAAAATCGAATTCGTCTCGATGAATGTAATTGTTATTGTAGACACTATTTTCGTCCCATTTTTTTATTATTATTATATATATATATAACATAGTTTGAAAACATTTTTTAAATATATATAATATATAGTTTTGAAAAACATGTTTGAAAACATTTATATATTATATAGTTTTTAAAACATTTTGAAAATTAATATAATATATAGTTTTTAAAACATTTTTGAAAATATATATATTATATAGTTTTTAAAAATATTTTAAAAATAAATATAATATATAATTTTTAAAACATTTTTGAAAATATATATTATATAGTTTTTAAAATATTTTGAAAATGTATATAGTTTTTAAAAAATATTTTGAAAACATATATATATTATATAGTTTTGAAAATCATTTCGAAAACATATAATATATAGCTTAAAAAAACATTTTTGAAAACTATATGATGTTGAAAACGTTTTTAAAAATATATATATAATATATAATTTTAAAATATTTTTAAAAAATATATATTATATAAGTTTTGGAATATATATATATATATAATATTTTTATTTTTATTTTTTATTTGTTTTTTCCTTTTTTTTGTTTTATTATTATTAACATTTTTATTTTGTTTATTTTCCCAGGGTCCAGCAGGTCTTGGGGCCTGATCCAGCCCAGATCACTAGGGTTTTAGAACCCTAACTATCAAGACAGTCAAGGGCACCGCACAACAAGGTAGTCTGACGATCAAGGGGCGAAACTGCTGGCCTGAAATCCTGGGAGTGACCCATCCCGGGATAACCGGCCACAACAGCAACGACCCCCTCTTTTCGGGGCTCACAACGGTCGGTGAGGGTTATAAAAGCCCCGACCGGGAACACAGTAAAGACAAAGATCATCGACCAAAATGACCATCAACAGTCGGCCGAAAACATGAACCCAAAAGCAACACAGAAACAAACCGCATCATCAACAACCCATATCAACACTGGCAACACAGTAAACAAAACCGAGGGAACATCAACACAAAAACCACGAAACAAGCCACTATCGAAACAAAACACAACCACAACACAAAATAAACCAAAACATCAGCAAAGAACAGAAACAAAAGCATACAACCCCGATCCAAGCCACGAAGGGCCATCGGAAGCGGAAAGGTCGCCAGAGAAGGGTAGGTGTCGAACGGTTTCTTGTAGATCTACAGTTATTTGGGTGTGTTTTAAAGATTTGGGGCTCAAATTCGGGTTAACGGCCGTCGGCGGCGGCAGCGGGTGGCCGAAAATCGCTAAGGGAGAGGAGTTGAGAGCCTTCTCTCGTTTGAGAGAGATGATTCTGTGAGAAAATGTTGAAAATGAGTTGAGAAGAGGTGTGTTTGGGCATTTATATACGAGGGACCAGTGTGCAAATAGAGGATTTTTAAATCCTCTCCGCAGTCCCTCATATTTTGATTCGTCTTTCAATTCAGCCACTAATTGTAATTTATCCCCCAATTTCTGATTTAATCCTTATTATTTTTTTATTTTGCAAATTAACCCTCTAATTTTGTTTTGTTTTTTTTGCAGTGCATTTTTAACACTAATATTCACTCCCTCCATTTTTAATTTATTGCAATTCAAACTTCTAAGCTTTTATTTTATTTTAGTTTATTTTTTTAGAATTGTTTTTGCTTCGTTTTGCTACTTTTTAATTTTAGCACTTTTTTTCTTTAGTTTATTTAACATTTTTTATTTTATTTATCTTTTTTTTATTCTATTTTTTTAGTTTCATTTTTCATTTTTTTTGTTTATTTAATATACGTTTATCATTATTATTATTACTATTTTTCCCTAACATTTTTTCTTTTTAGAAGAATTCCTATCAAAGGTAAGTAATTCGAATCGAATGTTTTAAATTTTAATTTTCGCAATTAAGACAACCGATAAATTAATTGGTATCGAAAGGGCAGTTCAAGGGTGTTAATCCTTCCTTGACCGTAACCGACTCCCGAACCCGACAAGTTTATGGTACAACGCAGATCAGGTAAGATGGTGTCCGACCAACCTAAATTCGCTTTAAAGTGGTCGGTTCTAACCCAATCATTTCAAGTCGAAGCCCAATTCTGGGGCCCAACCGAAAAATGGTTCTGACAGTTACGATAGGTGATCGTTCCCTAAAATTAATACGATCTATCTGAAAATTCATACACTCGAAAATTGAAGTTGAGAAACGGTTATAATACTCTTCTTTTATCACCGGAAAGAAGATAGAAAGCTTTCAAAAAAAAAAAAAACTAGGAGAGGATAGAGAGAGTTTTTAAGCAAAGGAAGATGTTATGGATAATCAGAAATGTTAAAATGATAAGCTATTTATAGGATGAAATTCGGGGTTAAAAATTTCTTTTAATCAAAATCAATAATCAAATTCTTATTTAATGTTCGTAAAAATCATTGATTAATTATTGTAATTAATCTGTTGCAGCTGGTTGAATCTGACCTCAAACTTGTTCAAGTTTACTAAAAAAAATATAGTTGTTATAACAGCTATTCAATAGCATATGGAAAGATTGAAGTTAAGTTCATGTAATTGCTACAATGAACAATCGAACATAGCTGTAAAATTGTCGAGGTGCATCTGGGGTGAGCATTCGATCGAGTTGAGTAAATTAAAAAAATTTCAAGTTATTCGAGTTGACAAATCATATTTTATAACTCGAACTTGATTTTAAATTTTTTCGAGTCGAGTCAAGTTTTTGAGTTTATGCTTAAATTTAATTGTAAATATTTATAATATTATGATACTATTTGTTTTCAATTTAAATGATTTTTTTATAACCATATACAATACATATATATTTCTTCATATTTTGTTTATATGTGATATACATATATCACACAGAGTCGAGAGACTCGATTCAAACTTAAAAAACAATCCACTAATTACTAAAAAATTAGAGTTATTTGAGTTGTATTTTATAACTTAATTTGAACTTGAATTTTTTTCCGATTCGAGTCGAGTTTATGAAATTACAATTCAAATCGAATTTTTTCGAGTTGAGTTAAGAAGATCAATTCTAGAGAAGAAGAAGAAAAAGACAATTTTGAACGTCTTCTTACATTAAAATTAAAGAAGAAACTCAAAACATAGAAGGAAAATAAAGGATCAAGAGAGAAATTTGTCTTA